TTTACATCTAAACACTTGTTTGTTTACATGCAATAAATAAATTTTACATTTTATAAAAACTAATAAATTAAATAATCTAAATAAAATGTATAAAATAAATCATTCAATTCAGATAATGATTTAACACCAGTAAAATTAACTTTACCCGTACGGGAGATGTTTGCTTGTTTCTTGTCACCGTAGTTAATGATCAATAATGGAAACCTCTGAGGTTGATAATAGGCCCGAATACCAATAAATGATCCATAGTCCGCCAGATTTATTGATCGGTTAAGTGCAAAAGTAGCCACTATATTAGTTACCGTAACATTGTTTAGTTGGACATCAAAACCGAGCTTTTGAATCATACGCGCAAATCTTCTTATGGCTATTCTACCGTTATCAACTGAATTAGTACCAATACATATTAATTTGCCCGATTGATATAACATAATTGTTGCCTTTGGTTTTCTTAAGCGCACAATTAAGCGAACAAATTTTTTATTATCATACACACAATTATTCAAACAATTTGTAATTTTTCGTAAATTCAATACTTTATTAAAATTAAACAAATTAGCAGTCATAGATACATTAGTAATTTGTAAATCATTATTTGTTAACATTTTTATTCATAAGAATATTAAGACTACTGCTAAGAGGTAAACTTGTTGGGCGTTTGATGGGCATGGGGTGAATACCACATACGTCATTCCCAGTGTTTTCTGTAGACGCAATACCTGTGCTGGTTGAAACCGGAATTTCAGGCCAAGACCACACTTCATCGAAATAGCTTTTAGTTTTAATTCCAGGTGGCGTTGGAAGAAGCGATCGTGTATTTTGCTGATGATTGGCAAATTTTGATGTTTTATCCGCGATGTCGTCAATTTGTTTAAGAATATTGTCTTTTTCGTTAAACAGTAGTTCCAGCTCTTTATATCGCAAATTCACCAAATTATTTTTGCTGTAGTTGCGGTGAAAAATTGATACACTATTGTTGTGATTGTCTGTAACAAATTGAAGTGAGCCAAAGGAGACAATGACTGTACCAACTTTTTTCTCTTTAAACACAATTTCTCGTATAAGATTAAAAAAGTCGTCGGATTGAATTACCAGCAGATCATCAAACATTTTACCATCTTTTAGGTCGGTTATGATAATATAAAAAAGTGTTGAATTCAAATGTAAAACACATTTTACTGATACTACTCTTTTGAAATTATTAGTAGTACTAAGAGTTAGAAAAAAATCAGAAACTTCTGTGTGAGACATTTTCAATGGTAAATAAAAGTTAACTACTGTATTTATATACAAAGTAAATAAATGTTGATGTAATTAAAACTAATTTTTATTGGCTATAAATACAATGATATATACATTTATTATGTTAACTCAATAGTGATTGGTTCTGATTCCAAGTCCATTGACTCTTCGGGTACTTTTTCCTGAATAGGTGCAATCGTTGATTCAATAGCTACAAATTTGTTCCATATCCAAGGTTTTAATTTAATTATGTGTTTAATATCCATTCTAGTTAGTATCATTGCAGCTATTTTCAGTTGTTTTTGATAAAGTATTGTCAGTTTTAAATATGGGTCTCTAGTGATGTATAGCTCATTATTTTTCTCATTACGATAACCATTATTTCGTTGCTTTAGTTTTCCCACGAGCCATAAATATTGATCTAATTTTAGACAAACACTCAATAATGGTCTATAATTAGGGCTATGCTGAGTTATTTTAATTAATTGTATTACACTATTTTTATTTTTAACAGCAACTAATTTAATGACTTTAGCGTAGCCATCACAACCGGGAATTATTTTAGTGCTCATTATAGTACTACTATACTTGATAAGAGATATACTACATCAACATTAATTAGTCTTATATAGTAGTTAAAAATAAATAACCGTATATAAGTAGCATTATATATAAGACTGTAAAAGTAAAAGTCAAAAGCAATACAAATACCAATCAAAATGTCTACAAGTATTGTTGATACTCCTAAAAGAGTTTTTAACTATGAGCACATTTACACTCATATTATAACAAATAAAAAATCTAATTTCAAAAAAGTTATTCGATTGAGTAAATCAGAAGACCAAATGCGTGTGGATATACGACTGGCTTTTGCTAATGAAGATGAGAAATTACAATATACGAAACGCGGTGTTAACTTAAATGTGGACGAGTTTCGTCATCTAATTGAAGATATTAAAGCAAAAGGGATTGATGGCAATATTGAAGACATTGGAGATATTGATAGGACTATTAAGTTCAAGAAAGATGATAAAGGTTTTTACAACATTATTGTTGTAAAATGCCTCTTAACATATGCTAGTGTTAATTTGACGTTATATGAGATCAAAAATATAATTATACTTAATGATGAAATATTTAAAATGTATACTAATAATTAAATAAAGAGATTTAAATTTCATCAATGTTTATTTTGTTGAGTTTCACTGTCATAAAAGCAAATGTGTTTTTCAAGTAAGTGTTTAGTTGCTTTAAAATGACTAAAGTGTATGGTCGCGATAGTTTTGATCGTTATGGTGACGACTTGTGTGGACTAATAATAAAACACTTACCTGCAAAAAGTAAAGTTAGTTTACTGACTGTTAGTAAACAATGGCAACGAATGATATTTACAAATCAACAAACACTCAGAATTGCTGAGTTTGATGATGAATGGGATGTAGACCACAATAGTATAAGTCTTTGGTCAGATGGTTATCGAGAATCATTACAAAAAGTATCACAAGATTTCAAGCAAATCAAACTATTGGAATTTGATGTGTTTTATCGATTTCATGAGACGTTTTTTAATTCGTTTCTTCATTTGAAGCAAATTAATATTTATACGGCCGTTCAATGCTTAGCAATAGAGAATGTTCGGGGGATACTTCGTCAAAACTTTCCAGAACGGATAAAAGCTATACGTTATATGAACACAATTAATTTCAAGAATATGAATCAGTTTATTGAGTTTATTAATAAATTCGGTTCTAAAGCCATTGAATTACACGTAGGTGGATCAGTTGATAGAAATACTGTATGTAACCATTTGGCGACTCTACCTCAACTAAAAGTTCTCAGTGTGGATCAAAAGTTATGTCAAGGAAATTGGAAGTCAATTATAAATAATCAAAATATCACTAATTTAAGATTGAATTTTGTCGACTTTTACAACGCCATAGAACTGTACAATGTTATGCCTACTACACCAAATAAAATTCAGTTTACATTAAATTCATCACACAATATTGAGATGTATGACGATTATAAGATGGTTCGGTACTCATTGAAAATGCTTTTCATAAAAGGACACTTCTTGTCACCGTTTGATTTTGTCAACTCAGGATTCAAATGTCTTTATGTTAGAAAATTTAAATTATTTATTGCTCACAGAATGCTTGAGCCGTTTTGTATAAATATATTTAAGACAAAAATGATGGATATTTGTGAAACCGTTATACTCAACACAAGTATAAACATATATTTAAATGTTGACAAATATCTAAAGCCGCTAATAATGAAACCAAATATAACCACATACGTTTTAATGGAATACGGGTTTAATCAACGATTGTTTGATTTATTGGTACTTAAAGCTGAGACTTACCCCGACAAAACAATTACTGTATCAATGTTTGGACCTCCATTGAATAAATACTGTAAAAATAATTTAATTATATATACTTATACTAAATTAATTAAAGACAATATTGTAATTACATAAATAAATTTATTGAATAAAAAAATTAATGTGATTGATAATAATTATTTAGCCATTTCCATAATAAATTGCATTTATTTGAAGCGCAGCGCAGGAGTTTTCGATCGGGAACAATTCTATCGTGAAAATGACACGGGAGACCACCATAAAATTGTTTTGAAAAAGTTTTGAATAGTTGGGACATTTGTATTCATTGAGATTAATATACGGTATTTTCCATAAGTCCAATATAATTGCCAATTGTTGGTTTTTTATGGCCAAATATGGTTTATCGTGTGATTTAATTTTATGATACATCATATATATCACTTGATTAGGTTCGAGAGATGAGTTGTGAGTGATATCGGTGTTGTGGGCTCTCAATGAAAAGCCAAACAGATTGTTAGCCAAATATAAATTAGTTATACGGTCTTTAAGGTCCATATCAACAAAGCGAAGGTCTGTGTCACACAGTTCACACTGTTTAAGTGTATGTGATAACACACATAGTTCCCGCGGATAAAACACGCCATCAACAGTGAAACCCTGTGCATCCATAACACCGCATATTTGATTAATTTTTTCCATTACTTACTAAAAAATTATGTCTTTCCGTACGAAAATTACTAAAGTTTAAGTAGTTTAGCAATTTTAGCAACTCTTCCAAGTCTTTTATATCATTTAATTGCTTGCCTTCTTCTATAAAGTATTTTTTAATTTCCTTTGAAAAATATGTTGACGGTTCAACCAAATATGGACAGTGTAGATTTGCGTCACTCAATACTATCAATAGTTTTTCGTCATATAGTTTCTCCATTTGTTTATAAACCACTCTATACTGACGTATATCTTTATACAAATGCGATAAGCTACAGCTGCCATCTGTATAACATATCTGCCAACTTATCATTAATATCACTACTGAAAGTAAATATTTTACAAAAGTTATCAAAGTTCGCGCCATTGAAATAATTTGATAGAAAAAATACACAATATTTTCCACATGTAGTTGAGTATACACTTTGAAAATTAATAGTGTTATAGAACCAACCACTACTACTGTTGTCTTTTATAAAGTTTATGATTTCTTTGTGTAGTGGGGGTAAGCCAAATGAATCAAAATAAACTACACTGTTATTATATTTATATATTGCAACCCAATGTTCTCCTGGTTGATTAGCTTTATCTGTATTTACAATTAATCCACTGTTATTAGGTATAGTATTAGGTAATTCATCTCTAGGATAGGTGCCATAATACTTGATACAGCTACTAAAATATTTATTTATTTCTAATGTATTCATGAAAAGTCTTTAACAGCAAATCGGTTTTTCTGTATTTCAATTAAACTATCGTATTCACAATAAATTAAAGCAGTTATTTGTTCGGCTAAAGGGTAATTAAATTTTAATTCAATTCTAAGTCCACCTCTTTGTAATGGGGATACATAACCACTTTTTGCAACGCCATCTGATAGGTCAGGTATGAAATTAAATGCAAATATTGAAAAACCTTCGGCAAATTCATCTTTTGTAATGTCACAAGTAGTATGGCTCAGCTGATTACTAACTTCAAATAAACTAAAGTATTCTCTAATATATTTATCATTTTGAAAGTCAGGTGTATATGGTTTATGCGGGTACTGTTGACCATTTAAATAACAAGCAATATATCGTAAACTATAGTGTTTAAAATAAAATTGATTAAGTGTCTGAGAGCCGTTATAAGCATCATTACTTACAAATGATATATACAGCTTCCTAGGTAGAACACCACTCTCAACATTATTCAAACAATAATCAATACTATCCTTTGGTATAGTACATGTTTTTACTTCACGGCGGGTAATAAAATATAGCGCAGGTTTATCTTCTTCAAGCATTTTATTATGTGCTAGTACTACTTGTGAATGAACAATTGACCGATGAATATAAAGTCTAGTATCTATAATGTTAACTTTTGGAACAATAGATTTATCATACATTAAGTAGAAATCGGGAGAGTTTGGATGTATTTTTATATTAATAGTTACACCACCTATTAGTGATTTTAATTGTTGAGATAAATCCAAATGTAATTTTCCATACAATTCAATATGACGGCTAACTGCTAGTTTTTTACCTTTTGGTGATAACCGTTTTTGTCGCTCTAAGTTATGATCATTAAATGGGTAACTATCTTTAACCCACATTGATGTTTGCATATGTGTTGACTTTGATTGAGAAGATGTATTAAGTAATGCATCAAAATAAGCAATATATGGATAATTTATAGATGAACTGGTGATAGTTGTTTGACCTATTTTTACATCTATTTGTTTTATAAATGAGTTTAATAAATGATTAACGGGTGATATTTTTTTCAAATCGTCAGCCGTAATATCGGGTGATTCAGTTTTAGTTAACTCAATTTGCAAACATAGGTACAATTCAGATTTATTTAAATTGATATATTCATTGATTCCAGTAGTTATTTCAAATTCAATGGGTGAATCAGCTTTTATTGTAGTTAGCGGTCTGTGATCTGTTTGTATATCTTTTTCAATCATTAATTGAGTTGGAGGGACACCAAATATATCCAACTCCGGTAAAGTCATTAAAGACGACAATGGATGAATAGTAGTCATTATATTAGTGTTGGTTTTCTTCCTGATTTACGACTACGTTTACGTTTTTTATATACTTTTTTAGTGACTTTGCGTTTAGATTTATTTATTCTGCGTTTGCGTCTCCTTCTTCTAATACCCATACCTCTTTGACGTTTCATTGTACTGAGTTTATCACTTACGTCACTGAGTACTGTATCAGCAGTTTTAAGTAATTGGTTTTTACTGGCGTCACCTAGTGATTTACCTCTTAATACGTCACTACCTATACCTTGAAATGCTTCCCAACCTTGTTTTGCTATATATTTTAGTGCTGGTTGTATGTGTTTAAAAATTTTACCAAATATACCATTACCACCTTGATATCTGTGACCACTATATACTACTATACCGTTACCGGCTTGCGATTTATAATAATCAATGTATGGGTTATCCATCTTTTATACTTTTTTAATATGTAAAGTTAATGTAACTCTACCGAATTTAAATGGTATAGGTCTTCCACTGTCGTCTCTTATATAGATTTTAATTGTGTCAAATTGATTTAGTCTAACGGGTCTGTATTGTGGTGTCTCATAATTTAAGTGCACTGTATCACCAAATTTAGATTTACGTGGTATTTCAACTACACGTAGCAATGGTGCAAATGTGTCACCAACAAGAGATGGATATACAATATCAGTGTATAAGTATAATAAATGATATCCACCAGATATTTCTACTGGATGATGAGCTTTCACTTCATCATTTGTATATACATTATTAACTGTATAATCATTAATTGCATTTTCAGTATTATAATAATTATAGTAATTATTTCTATTTTTAAGTCCTAACAAACATTCAATCTCATCACCCAAGTTAACAAATACTCTAACAGAGTCTTCAAGTTTCCCACATATCAGTTTTGGAGGTACTATTCCTTTAAATTTAGCAAATATACTATTTATTTCACTAATTAAATTTGATGGTCGTTCATAAAAACCGGCTTTAATTGTATAAATATTGGAGTCATTATTGTAGATATTACCCATCTCATCATATAGAGATACTTTATAGTCATTTAAAATATTATACCATGATTTTGTATATGATATTTCTGTTATACCAACTAACCAATCAGTATATTTTGGTATACTTGTCAATAAATCATTTTGGGGATCAAATTTCATTACAGCTCCTAATTTAGTTCGGAAATCGCTTAATGTATTGTCACCGGTAATAACATTAGAACTCAAAGTAATATATGAACTCATTTTATTCACAAATTATAGTATAATTTAATTTTGTACAATTCCACTTGGATTGATGAATTTTATTATTATATAAAAAAATAATTAAAACTAAAACAATAATTAATAAAGTTATTAAAATAGATATTATTTTACAAATCGTTATTTGTGACATCTTTTATAACTTTATTGCAAATACGTAATCTTGGATTAGGTAATATATATCCCAATGCGCTGGTCAATATGATTGTCCACAAATTTTTATTGCCGAAATCAAATGATAGATTAACTAAACTAACGACAATTACTAATGTTATTAAAAATACTTGTATTGAAAATAATATTAAGTCTGATGGACAAACTTTTTTGTTACGAAACATTTTCAATATTATCTGTCCAACTATTATAGCTTTCCGGATAGTTTAACCACTTTACAAAGTATTCAGTTTTTCCACGGCGTTTACGTTTTTTAATAACTTTTTCAATTCTGTACAGATTATCAGTAATTTGTTGCAATTCCTGGGGATAAAAGCGCTGCTCAAGTATATTTCCCTGTTCATCTCTTAGCTTAAAAACATACTGTTTATCACCTTTTATAGTATTTTCAACAGTAAATATTTGGTCTGTCCAACTAGGGTAATATCCTTTATCAAATGCTTTCATGTCATATACTCGTCTTACTTTATCACCAGTATTTATTTTGTTTGGGGTTAATTTAGTTTTAGAGAACAGGTTGTTATACACAAGTTTTTCATTAGTAGTAGAGACATCTATTGGGCGCATTTTAATTGATCGATGATATGATGAATTATATGTGTCAACAAAATCCTTAATGACGTCAATATATTTACGTGTACCTTTGGCAGTAAAATACTTAAACATACGTGTTTTAAGTGTACGGTTAAAACGCTCAACAATAGCACATTTAATTCGATGATCATTAGATGTGAAGTAGTTAATGTTTAGCTCTTTCAGTAATTTTTGTAAATCGCTATTAATAAACTCTTTACCTTTATCTGTTCTTAAAGCTAAAGGTTTTTGTTTTTTAAAAATATTTGTAAAAACACTAGTTATTGTTTTTGCATTTTTATTTTTTAGCGGTATTGCATAAGCATATTTACTAAAACAATCAATAACAGTTAATAAATATGAATAGTGTTTATTAGTACCGCTAAATTCTTTCATATCAACCAAATCAGCCTCCCATTGCTGATTAATATGTTTAACTACTATACGATTACGTTTAAAGTTTTTGATCACTGGCTTATGAAGTGTATATGTTAATTGTTTAGATAACCAATTTTTTACATCTTTTAGAGTTATACTACTATCTATTTTATTAGCAGCTATAAATAATTTATTAATTGAACTAAATGATGCATTATGCTTAGTATTATAATAAATTTTTGATAGTATTTGATCGATCATAACTTATACCAATTAGCTACAGACTTATTTGTTATAACTTTTTTTAGTTGCTTAGTAGGTTTGAGTTTACTAATAAATTTATTATTAATAGGTTTTTTGATTTTTGATAATGTAGGGTTCACTTTAGTTATTGTATTTTTTACTATTGATTTAACAGATGTTTTATAAGGCTTTTTTAATAGAATTTTTTGTACAATATCTTCAATTATTTTTATAAACTTTTCATTTATATTATTTTCTGTTTTATGAGGTATAATTACTTTATTAAGTTTAGTTTCAGTAATAGGATCACTATCTGATACTAATTGAATTTTTCGAAATGACATTATGTAATTAAATCAATAATTGACGTAACTATCGGTATTAACCACAACCAACCGCCGCTTTGCACAACCAACTTTTTTGACACTGATATTTTATTAGGTTTATTAAATTTATTAAACAATTTTTTATGTTTAAGTATTTTAGATGCATTAATTTTATCCAATATTATATTACCTTTTATAATATTTACGACTATTTCTTTAAGTGCTAAATAAAAATTACGGTCGCGGGACATATATTTTAATATATATATTTTTGTGCTTTAGGTGACTGTAATTTTGCAATAAATTTCAAGTCATGACAATACTTTTTTAAATTTTCAGACATTATTTAGGTACATAAGCAATAGGAGCCAATATATTATCTACAGGTATTATATTTGTCTGTATTCTATATTTTTCTGGAGTGTCTTGTTTTAAGTCAACTCTTATATAACCATATTGTATAGATGTTGCATCATTATAAGCATCAATTAAAAATTTAGATTTATTTGGATATATTTGTGAAGCCAATGATATTATTTGTCGCTTATCTCTGGGATTTTTCAAAAGTATCAAATAATGACAATTTATGCTAATTGTTCTCATTTGCGACCCCTGGTGGAAAATATTTTGTGCAATAAAAACAACACTTATATTTAAATGGTGGCTCCCTTTAGTGAATAAATTTGCTAATGTAATGTTATTGCCTAACTCTGTCATAAGATCATCAACTATAATAATATGAGGTCCATACTCTTTGACGTCATCTTCGGAAGGTAGACCTTCTATATATTTTACGTCACAATTATTTATAGGTTTTTCATACAAGTTTTGCCACTGACCGTAAGCCCACATGACTTTTAACACTGTAGGTGTAGTTTCAAAATATAATGATTTCCTGTAATGTTCTAGTATATTGCGTATTAGTACAGTTTTCCCGCTACTTGTAGGACCTGCAGTCATACAAGTAAATGGATGTTTGAAACATAAATGTTTTGTTTGAATTTTTACTGTATTCATAATTATCTAATTTAAAAATAATAATTAAGTAATATTTAGCTTATATATTATTTATAAATAAAAATTACAATATACTAATAATATACATGTAGCTCTCTAATAACAAGCATTACAATAATAAAAAATGTAGATGTATTTTGTTTACTGCGCAGTCAATGTCAATGTCAATAACAGGTTTCAATATATAAGCTGCACTTGAACTTGAACTACACACTTGTTTTTGTGCTCTTGTAGTGTTCACATCAACTATTATAAATATTACTTTTTGATAATAATTTTGAGTTTTAATTGTTTTTGTAATTATGTCGAAACGATCAGCATCTGATGTCAATACAAGTAATAAGCGCCGTATGGGTGAATGTAAGCAGATAATTTTATAATTAATGTAATAATTAACTAATTATTTTTTATTTAGTGTTTCAGTTGTTAAGTCAACACGTGGACGACATACCAGATGGTATGTCATGGGGTCAGGCATTAGACTCATTAAGTACAATGCCTGAAGGCGCTAATGTTAACGAGTGGTTAAAAAGTGTGAAACAAGACAAAAATGATGGTTTTGATGTTCAAAACAATAACAAAGAAAATGGTGGAAATGAAAGCATTGTTAGCAATAACGGTGTTGACCCTCGATTAGATGACAGCAATGGTACTTATATGAATAATGTTTCACAAAATTCAGATGCTGAACCGGATCCCAGAGGTAATTAATTATTAAATTATAATTATAAATTTTTAATAATTATATATATATCAGTCAATACACAATATGGCGGTGAACACTCTCATGATGATAATGAAGCAATGATTTCCGGAGCTCCTGACCCTCGAAATGAAGATGAAGAAGATCTGATGACTAATAATGAACCACAAGGTCAATTACTATATTCATTTAACCGTCAGCCGCAAATCCAATCTTATGACAAATTCAAGCGCAAACAGTACACTCAGCGAATTAAATTTAACCACAATTTAAGAGATTTGAATGGATTTAACGATATTGAAGAAGAGTTTTCGGAAGCCATTGCTGATGTTT